TTTGGGGGGGGGGGGGGTAGCTCTGAAAGAAACCTCGGATCACAACTGAACTTTAGTTTGCCCAAGTGTTGTTTTGTTTTGTTTTGTTTTGTTTTGTTTTGTTTTGTTTTGTTTTGTTTTGTTTTGTTTCCATGTCTGTGTATGTGTATGTGTATTGTGTATTGTGTATATAATTTGATGATGATGAGTAGGTACGTTCAGTTTCACAATCCATAGCTACCTAGCTTTAATCTCATCTTTTTTTTTTTTTTTTTCTTCTTTTTCCAACAAATCAAATCAATTGAATTTCCAGCAGACTTACATGGAAGAAACATCCTGGGCCTGAAAAGGGTAAGGTAAGGTACCTAGGTAGGTAGGTCGGTACCTACATGACAATAACAGAGACCTAGTATAGGTGTGTGTGAAAGGAGAATGAAATGGATAATAGTAGCTGGCCGTTCTTACATACTTGGAAGGTGTAAACATTTCGGGAAGGGATATTTCGTTCGCAAGTGTTCTGCTTGATAGTCTAATTGTTGTTATTGATTGGGAGGTATGTACATATGTTTCACTCTCTCTCGCTGTTTGATGATTATGGCATGTATAAGTATGCTGTGAAGAAGAAGAAGAAGAAGAAGAAGAAGAAGAAGATGTGCCACTCGCGCTCTTCGCTGGGTAAAGACACAAGATGCCATGTGAAGGATTGCAAGTATTCGCTTAAGTGACAATATCAAGATATCAACAGTAAACTTTTCTCCTTTTCCCCTTCTAACGCACAAGCTACAAAAATCACCACCACTTCCCAAGTTTCTCATCCTCTCCTATGGAAACCAGATTATAACTGGCCGATTCCTCCCATGACTGCCAAATCATCGTCGTTGGAAGAGAAACCAAAGTTGGAATCCTGTAGCAGATCGTCCATCTCATTTCCCGGAAACATCATCATCATCATCATGTTGTGGTCATCTTGTCCACCACCACCACCTCCTCCCCCTCCTCCTGCCAGCATACCCATATGCGTCATGGGCATGCTTGTACTCATACTCATCATACTCATGCTCGTGTTCGTCATGTCGAGATTCATGTCCATACTCATGCCCATGCCCATGTTTGTACAGGAAGCATCCATGCTCGTTCCTAGCCCCGTCATCATGCCCGTGGATGATGAAGACCAATCCGTCAGGTTCGTCATGCCCATGGTTACCCCCATGTTGCTCATATTGGCCATGTCAGCAAGGCCCAAATCCATACTCATGCCCATACCAGGACTGGTGGTGGTGGTAGTGGTGGTGCCAGCAGTAGTGAACCCAGCAGCCGTGACCGGCGACGGCACCGTCGAAGTGCCAACGGACGACGAAGACTGCTGCATCAGTCCCATGCCAGTAGCACCCACGCTCGATGAAAAATCCGGCGTAGACCCTAGAGAGGAAGAAGAAGAAGTTGGCATCAACCCCAGCCTCTCCCTCATCATGTTTTTGAACTTCTCCAGTAGCACAACATCGTCCGCCGACGTGGTACTCAGCTTTTGGATCTCCCTCGCCTTGGCGCGAATAGCTTCATCACTCGGGAACATGCCTCTCGCAGCCCCTCCACCTCCCCCGCTGCCATCATTGCCCCCCCTCACACAAGTCGTAACAAACTTCACCAACCCCTTTTCCAACTCCCGGGAGCAAAACACCACCGCAGGTCTCTGCCATCTGGTCTTGAATCCCCTCACGAACTTGTTGGCCGTCTCTTTTTCCGCGACAAACATGCGTTTGGCTTCTTTCATCTGGATGGGGATGTCCGTTTCCACCGTCGTGGCTTGGGCGTGCAGGTTCGGGAACAAGTAAGGTGGTTCGAAGCCGGACCCACCTTGGGTGGCGCTCCATTGAGTACATTCGGGCAAGCCTGGCAGAGAGGCGTCGGTGAGGAGGCCGACGTCGCGCTTGAAGCGGCGGAGCCACTCGGCGTTGTCGGCTGCGGTTTGGTTCCAGGGGTCGTCACTGGATGAAAAAAAGTTTAGCTAGGGACGGAGAGAATATGAAGGATGTAAGAGGGACTCACTCTTGATACAAGATCCAACGCGCTTGGCGTTGGAGTTCTTCATCACTGGGAATGTGACAGTCTGGGGAGTTTGGTGACGTGATTGCTGCCACGTATGCGCCCAACTCGCGAGCCAGCCTGCGGTAGCAGTTGGCGTCGTTGAAGAAGTACGGCCCAATCTTGACCGCGTTGTTGGGTTTGCCTATGTGTCCGTCTACACCTGCTGCGATATTAAAGGTTGGAGTACCTATGCTTCCCAGTGAAGTATTCCGGGGACCATTAAAGCAGCTGCTGCCCATCCATGTGGCCATGTCCATCGACGGGGTGAAGCCTTTTCGGGACACCGATGAGATGGTCAATGGCTCGCATGTGGCCAAAGCTACTGCGCTGGCTTCTGGAGACACATGTCGCTGTTTAAACGCTGCGAGCCAGTCACTGTTATCGGCAGCCGTCTGGTTCCAGCAGTCGTCACACTCGTAGATAATGATACGGGCTTTGGTTTGTAGGTCCATATCAGTGGGCTCTATGCCCATCGAGCGTTGCAGGTGCAAAAACTCGGCCAGCTCCCTCTCGAGGCGACTGTAGTTATGGATAGTCGAATCGATCTTGGAGGGATCTGTGGAGCGCCTTGCCTCATCTCCGACATCTTCCGATCGTGGCAAGACAGCCCGCTGCCGAAAGTCGGCGAGCCAGCTTGTAGATGCGTAAATGAGACGCAGCAGAAAATTGGCGACGTCTTCAGAGGGATGGCTGGACGACTCTTCCATGCGACCGATAATGTTGCAGGCCTCATACTGCAACTCGCTATCCATGGCGGTTAAGCCGAGTAACCGACGAGCCTTGACATACTCGTGGAGCTCGTTCTCCATCGGATCCTCCTCAAAGATGTTGCTCTTGCCGTTGATACGCAGAACTGCTTGACGGCTCTCGTTTGCCGATCTGATAGGTCCCATCCTTGCCTGCAGGGCCAACGGCTCGGAAGAAAGAAGCAAGTCTCGTAGCCAGGACGGGATAGCGGTTTCGCTCTGGTTAGACTGAAGCTCGGCTGCGTAGATGATTCTGCATGCCTCGACTTGGAGCTCTTCATCTGTAGGCAGCCTGCCCATGATGTCGCGCTCCTTGGTGAGATAATACATCAGCTCGCTCTTGATCAACTCGTAGGCGTTGCGAGCTGTTTCCGAAGGTTCTTGAGTCGCTGTGTATGGATTTGGCGAGTTTCTGTCGTCGTGGATCAGGTCTGATGGGATCATGTCAGCAGTTTGTTTCAGATATGCTGGAGGGAAAGAAAATCCTACATGGTGGGATGGCGTTCTCGACCATCTCGAGAACTGGAGTGTCGAAACCCCAGTCACCCTTCCATTCGGCCATTGTCTGACCAGCTTTGAAGTGCTCCGCCAGGTGGTCGACACGAATGCTCCAAGTGTCCATGACGATGCCACAGAAACCACATCGGGACCGAATCTCGGGCGTAGTGGCTTTCCACTGCTCCATGGACCAGTTCACAAACTTGACATCGTGAACCAGTTTCAGGTGCTGACGGAGATGGTCCTTGCGGTAGAAAGTGCGCTCTTCCTGGGTTTTCTCCTGGCAGATGGAGTAGTTGTGAGTCTCGATATGAGCTTCATCCGGGTTTGCCTCTCCACAGAAGACACAGGACACTTGGCCATTCTCGGGGTTGGATGCCCGAGGGCCTTCAGGAGCACATACCCATCTCTCGAGAGACAGGTGCAGGGACTTTTCATGTCTTTGCCAGTCGTGCTTGGTCCTGAAAGTCTCTGTACAGAAAGTACACTGAAAGGTCTTGAGAGGCGCAGAGAGAGAGTTTCTTTTCTCTGACGGCACTGGTGCTGCCTTTCTCCTTCTTCGCCTCCGGCCACGGTTCATAGACGACCCATACGAGCCAAGGGAGTCATGAGTTCCGTACGAGTATGCGGAGGCGAATGAAAGGCCACTGGAGATGGACGTGTTGAAACTGCTGGCCGAGGAGGCGGCACACAAGGATCTGTTGGAGCCATCGTCGGTCAAATTGAAGTTGTTGCTGTGTGGACTACCGGATGAAAGCGTAGTGGCGGAGGCAGTAACGGCACGGGCAATGGCAGTCACCGAGGCGGGTTCGTGTTCTGGAGGAGAGACCTGCCAACGTTGGAGCGGGTTCAAGAGCTCTAATTGAGGACGTCTCTGGGGTATGTCCATATTGGTGGACAAGCTCCGTACACCGGGAGAGATGGACCGAGGGGCACCCATAGCCTTGCCTCTTCTGCGACGGGCATTGGCCAGCCAGCCCGTGATCTGGGTCTTGCTCAAGCCTGTCTGCTTTTGCAGCATTTCCTTCTCTTCATCGTTGGGGTATGGGTGTTTTTGGTGGATGGAGAGCCAGTTCTTGAGGATCTTGATGGACTCGCGCGAGAAGCGGTTATTGACCTTGGTGGCGGCGAGTGTAATGGGAGGAGCAGGAGTAGAAGGTCGGTCTTGCTCTTCGACGGAGGTGGTCGAACCTGGGTTCCGAGAGGGTGCAGCAGGTTGATCCACCAGTCCGAGGCTACAGACTCGATTCAGGGCCACACAGCCTGTGCAATATCCCTTGTAGCTACCCTCACGGATGCGCTTGCACTGATAACCATTGGCCTGGCAGTGGTTGCAAGGGGAGGATGGCATATCAAACGAGTCTTCAAAGGCCACGATGGAATCGCCGGCCGTTGTTGTTTCCCCGAGGCCAAGCGGGTTGTTTTGTTCGTAGTGCTGCAGGGCCCAGCTGGCAAAGTCATCATCGGCGGCATTCTCCAGGGCCAGATCCAGGTCGTTGGGATGGCGAGTACCTGGCATGGAGGCTGGGTCGATGCCGTCCCAGTTGATGAATGATTCCATTTCGTGGATGGTCGGCATGGTGCAGGTGTCAAAGGCCTCAAAGGGCGCAGCTGACGAGTACTAGTATGGTCTGTCCCTGTGAGACTCGGATAGCTGGCTGATGCTGGTTGGGTGGAGGAGGAGGAGGAGGAGGAGGATGTAGTTCAGAGGGCGCAGAAAGCGAGGCAACAGTCCACGGGCTCGGACTTTTTCTTGACGGGATATAAAGATGGTGGGGAGAAGTCGACTCGGTCACATATAATAAATCCTTCAACACACAAGATAAGTGGAAAAGAATGTCTTGACGACGAAACACACACGGAAAGGAAGAGTGACGAGGAAAAAGGAAGAGAAAAGTCCATTGACTCGACTTATCCAGGACGGGCATCCCATGCCATCAAGGGTATCGTAGGTAGCCTCTCCGACCTACCTACCCTCCTACCTTTCCCTTCCAGGACGGTGACCGGCTGGTCGCGGCACAGTCACACAATCCCGGACTGGATGGTCTTGCTGAAAGGGCATTGTCTGTCGACGGGCACCAAGTCTAGTCAATCAACATGAGTGAGTGAGTGATTGAGTGGTGGTGTTGTTGCTCAAAGCGGAATCCAGTCATCCGAAAAGGTGGGGAGCGCGCCTTTCGATTGACATGCTGCACCACACCTTTGACGAGGACCCACCCTTACTGCCAAGCTGGGGCTCCCGCTGCAGTCAAGCTAGCCATTCCCCGCAATCGGACCTTCTTCCTCCAAATTCACAAAGGCTTCACCAACTTGACCAAATATCACAGACAAATTCCCTAGACTTGTACACGTACTTGAGGGATGTAGAGAAGATCTTCGTATACAGAGTCGTCTCCAGGTTTTTACCCATACCATAAACTAATGGGTTGCCCGTCAAGCAATGTTCCAGTTTCTTCTGATAGTTTCTGCTACATCTATGGGCATATCATCATAGTTCAGCTAACAGGTCTTAACAGTGATAGACGACCGGGATCGGCAGAGCGCCGATATCGTATCGAGCAATGTGTGCTCCTTCCTGCCTCTCGACCGCTGCCTCTTTCTGTTTCTGTTACAGCGAGTCCATCTTACGATTTTTAGGCAACCACTCACCTCGATTGACAATGAAAAGATGGAGGAAGGAACTCATCCCGCCGACCAGTCCAGTCCGGTCACATCGATTCGCCCACAACTTCGTATCAACTTGTAAAAACGGAACGCCTCTTGGGCTTAAGAATACCATCTGGCAATAGTCCGACATTAGTTCATCCTACGATAGGAACCTGCACAATCCTGGAATGCCACTCTCCTTTACCACCCGAAAGAACCCATCCAACATGAATACAACCAAATCACACGCAATCCGTCGCCGCCCAAATCTCGACAAGTTGCCTACTACCTATTCGTCTCTTTCCCCACCCGCGTGCTGACCATCATCAACCGCTCTGCCAAAGGGCAGCATGCACGTTGGAGTTCTTCTCAAGCTTGCCTATCGATGCCGGACCAGTCTTCAGGTAACAGTTTCCAGTATAGCCGCCCGCCTCGGCAATCGATCTGTTCACCCAGGCGGGAATGAAGGAAACCGCCTCGCAGTTCCACCCCGGGTCTTTGCTGTTACTCTTGGGAACCACGTACTTGGTCCATGACGCGCACGCATCCATACATGCCTCAAAGTCGGCCGTGAAGATGGCAACCAAGTTAATTCTGTTGGTTGTGTCGCGGTTGTAGTCTCTGAAGCAGTAGATCCTGTAACTGCGCTGGTCCAGTGCTAACCGTTCACTTGTATTAGCTACAGCCTCAGGAGGAACGTCGAACGGGATCAGGACAGGAAACAAACATGACCTACATTTCAGCGAGGTGTAAGTCGTCCCATTCACTTGATCCGACCGACTACCACATCCGCTATCGACTTCAACCCCCGACGGGGAAGTGGCACCGCCAATACTACCGGTCGATGTCATGGTCGCGGTTGTCGATGTCCCAGGAAAGGTCGAGGTTGTCGCTATCTGCACCGGATTCGCCGAGGTATAGGCTGCCAGCTTGTGGACAGCATCATTCGCCCTACTCGCCTCGATCCCCGTTCCGGCCGCCAATCCGATCACCGCAGCAGACAGCAGCGCAATGATACACGACAGAACAAAGGTCAAGAGGCTGCAGCCGCAAATCATCCTCCTCTTCCCGTCATTTTTGGGCGTTGTGTGAGCATCTCCTACATGTGCCTGCGATTCAATCGTCGAGCCCGCTATCGTGGTCGCACCGCCATAGCCCGGGGAGGGCTGAGAAGGCGAGTATGGCGATGGTGTTTGTTTTGGTACCGGCGGTGAGTCGTGATAAGCCTCCGGGTACTGTTGGTGTTGTTGGGCATTATAGGCATGGGTTTGTGGGGGAACAACTTCGGGAAAGTTTTGAGAGGCCGCCTCGAGCCCGTCATCGTATCGGTGCTTGATGACAGGAACACGTTAGCGATCAAACTGTCGCATACTTGGAGCCAAGTATCCTGGTGATCTTACCGACTCCATAGCGGTGTAGCCGGAACGAAGCCCCGATCTGATTCGTGTGTCTTACCAAGCGTCGAGGACGTTGAGAAAAGAAGCAAAATATTCCAGCAAAAGGATCTGGCGCATTCATCAGGGGAAGCCGAGATAAAGGGAACACAAGAATCGTGCTCGAGAACCACTGATTCGAAGGCGTAGAGCACCATAACCTGATCAAGGTTCTGCGCCAATGCGGCAGAAAGCGAGCCTTGGCTGAAGAGGATGCCGTCCACAACCGTCAGGAAACCAGGGGTGAGGTTTATGTGCCACAGCTGGGCTTCAATAGTAGCCCGTTAATCCAAATGCAGCTGCTTGGCGAGGAGGATTGCATCTCGAGCATCAATAATACTCTTTCATGGAACACAAGCTTCTAAGGCAACTCCAGTTTGTCGCTCGAGCAATGACGATTGGAGGCTGCATCGACTTGATCTCCCAGCGCAATGGCAAAGTTTTCAGGCTGATGGTGTAATCATCAAACACTGGGGGAATAATTGGCAACCAAACCTCGTTTTCGACAATCGCACTGCTTGAGGTTGATGATAGGCACCCTCCAAGTGTAGGCCAGACGGAAGTATACCCAGATACACGCTTCTTCCTATGGTGAGTTCATTTTTGACAACACTTTTGAAGGACAGCTACCCGATGCAAAACATACACGGGTATTGCCTTTTAGGGTACCTGAGCCTCAGCATGGAACAACTCTTCCCTTACGCACGCGGCTCTAGACATAGATGGACAACACACTATATCTAGCCGCCGTCGATTGTCTCAAGTCGTTGCGGTCCGCAAACATCAAGTCTCGGGCTCTTAGCCTGCTGAGCGGGGCCAGGGAAGAGGAACGGCGGCACAACGACGGCATGTTTCATTAAACGGTCAGGCTGGAGCCCGCAGGGACAGGGGGATCGTCCGGCCCTACGCTCAAAATGGGGGTTTGACGGTAGGGATCCCCTGTGTAGCGTGTAGAGTAGAGTAATCTCCCATCTTTGATATCGAACATTGGAGGGACATAACAAACAGTGCACGAGATCAACACGTGGATGGTGTCGTATCATACATATTTCTTTTTTCAAGATTGGCGGTGATTGACAGAAAATTCAGGATCCCTTCTCCGAGCGTTGAGCATTTATCCGAAACATGAACGACACCACAGAGCTGTTATAGTGCTGGATATGGTGATAGTAGTGTCCATACCAAGGGAGGAAGCCTGCCAAGATTTCACATGCGTTCAGCACAGTGCTGCCCTACTGGATTCTAGCGTGTGGGCTTTTCTAGGAAATGACTAGTGTAGCATCAACCCACAACAACCTGCAGTGACGGGCAACAACAAGCGCGGAAGAGCGAATAACTTCACATTGAAGAAGATTCATCACACGCGGTGCCCGGTACCATGGGAAATATCTTCAGCCTCTTGTTCAAAAGCGGTGAGCAGCTGAGCCGAATCCCGGATACCTTAATTTCGCAAGCATATCCGACATCAAAGAAAAATCGTCAACGAGATACCGAGGCCGTGTTGGCACTTTTAACGATCTGCACAGGCCGGCACGGTGAACCAAGGCCTGGGGGGGCTACTCGCTATTTCCTAGGGGACCCTAGGGGGGAAGACGATGTAACCCAATCAACTGCCATTTGTGGAGATTTAATTGCTTCCTTTCCTTCGTCACTTTTTCCACTTGGGGTCTTTGATGGAGAGCCGGGGGGGACCATGACTTACTTACCCTTAACAAGTCCCTCCCGACCCCGAAGGGTCTTTTTCTACACAATGTGTTCCCGAGGACTTTAACAAGAACCTTTTCTTGTGACTGATGAGGACTTGGGAGAGTTGAGGATCAGGCAAATCCGCGCCGGCGACTTTCTACGTGTTGTTGTCGTTGTTGTTTGCTTAGAGCAAGGGGATACTTGAGGAACAGCGAGGAGAGAGTTGACATTCGACTGGACGGACGTCCAACAAC